AGTCTAAACCTGGAGAATCAACATAAAGCTGGATGCAGTAACAGGCAAGCACCAGTAACCAGCAACATTTCTCCATCCAGAAGATAGTGACAGCAGAAGTCCTCAAGGCTCCCATGGTGGCTAATCTTGGTTGTCAACTTGACTACATCTGGAACCAACTAAAAAGAAAGCAGCTGGCACACCTGTGTGGGGGTTTCTTGGTTGCTGTGGTAGTTTGAATGTAATTGGCCTGCATAAGCTCATAGGGAATGGCACTATTGGAAGGTTGTGACTTTGGAGTAGGTGTGGCCTTGTTGGAGGAAGTGTGTTACTGTTGAGGCGGGCTTTGAGGTCTCATATATGCTCAGCTCCTTCTCCAGCAGTATGTCTGCCTACATGCCGCCTTGCTTCCCGCCATATCAATAATGGACTAAACCTCTAAAACTGTTAACAATTAAATGTTTTCCTTTATAAGAGCAGCCATGGTCATAGTGTCTCTTCACAGCAATAGAAACCCTAACTAAGACAGTTGGATAATTTGAGGTAGGAGACTCACCCTAAATCCAGGTCATTTGAGGGCAGAAACCCACACTGAATCTGGGACACACCTTCTGGTGGCAGCCTACATAAAAGGACATGGAAGAAGGAAGCTGTTGCTTTTTGCCTGCTTGCCCTCATTTTCACTGACAAGTCCATCTATCCTGTGGTGGATATTTTCTTTGTACTCTAAAAAATAAAATTTGCCTGAAGATCAGAGGACAGAGCCAGCCACTAGATTAAACATAGAGGCCAGGCAGTGATGGCACACATCTTTAATCCTAGCACTCTGGAGGGGATCTCTGTGAGTTCAAAGCCACCCTGGACTACATGAGATTAATTTAGTCTATAAGAGAAACAGAGCCAGGCAGTGGTGACACATACCTTTAATTCCAGTACTTGGGATCTCATGCCTTTGCTCTTAGTATTTAGGAAGTACACACGCAATTAATCCCAGCACTAGGAAGATTGAGACAGGAAATGATAGGGCTAGGCAGAGAAAGGCATAGAAGGCAGGAGATAGGAACTTTTGGCTGAGGACTTAGAGGCATTCAGTCTGAGGATTCATGGAGACAGGATCTTGCCTCTCTTTCGGCCTGAGGATTTGGCAGTGGTGAGAAGTTTCTCTAGTGGCTTGTTCCTTTGTCTCTCTGATCTTTCAGCATTTATCCCAATATCTGGCTCTGGGTTTTTATTATAAGACCAATTAGGATGAATGCTACACTATCCTGTTCTTGAAGCAATCCTTTGCTGGATTAGTGCCCATTTCTTCTTCTTCTTTTTTTTTTTTTTAAAGATTTATTTATTTATTTATTTATTTATTTATTTATTTATTTATTTATTTATTTATTTATTTATTATGTATACAGCATATGTGACTGCAGGCCAGAAGAGGGCACAAGATCTCATTACAGATCAGATGGCTGTGAGCCACCATCACAACCAGTGGTTGCTGGGAATTGAACTCAGGACCTTTGGAGGAGCAGTCAGTGCTCTTAACCTCTGAGCCATCTCTCTAGCCCTAGTGCCCACTTCTTTGTGATTCCAGCATAGACTGGAAACTGGCAGCTCTCTAGGACTTCCCTGGGACTCCAGCACCAAACTGGGACTGCTGAGACATCCAGTGAACTGAACAACCTCCAGACCCTCGACCTTGCCCTCGGGAGGCGGCCACTGCTGGACTACTCAAGGCAAAGCCTGTAAGCCACTCTAATAAATCTCATCTATTTTTTCTATCAGTTTTGTTTCTTTAGCGAACTTTGATTAATACAGTTCCCAAACCAGCTAGCCTTAAGTACAAGTAATGAACAACAAAGACACCATGTCTCAAACAAGGTAGAAGGCTAGAATTGACAGCCAAGATTGTCCCCTGACCTCCATAAGCAGGCCATGGCACAGGAGCACACATAAACTCAAACATCCACATCAAGATTTGACTCGAGTAGAAGGGAGAACTGGCTCCTTCAAGTTTTCCTTTGACTTCCACATGCGCACCAAGGTATATGGATGTTTGCCCACCTCCTCCACATACACACGCGTGCACACAAAAACTTAATAAAAATTTAAATCCCAATAGTATATATGTAAATATGCACTTATTTATGTTTGTGTGGGTGTAATGGCTATTCTTGGTTGTTAAGTTGACTACATCTGGAATTAACTAAAACCCAAGCAGCTTGATTGAATCATTTGAGGTGGGAAGATCCACCTTTAATCTGGGCCATACCTTCTGGCCAGCAGTCTATATAAAGGATATGGACGAAGGAAGCACTTGCTCTTTGCCTGCTCACTCACACTCTCACTGGCAAGTCCATTCCTTCACTGGCATTCTCTAATTACTTCTTCAGGATTCTGGCATATACCCAGCTGAAAAATCCAGCCTCATGGAATGAACAACCACTGAATTCTTGGACTTTCACTGAGAGACAGCCACTATTGGAATAGTTAGACCATAACCTATAAGCCACTCTAATAAATCCTGTATGTATGTATGTGTATATATATATATATATATATATATATACACATACATATACATATACACACATACATATACACACATATATACATACATACATATGTATACACACATATGTATATATACATGTATACACATATATATGTATGTGTATATATATATATATATATATAGAGAGAGAGAGCGCTTTATTCTATCAGCTGTCTCTCTACAGAACTCTAATATAGTGGGTTTTAAAAAATAGGATCTCAGCCGGGCGGTGGTGGCGCACGCCTTTGATCCCAGCACTCGGGAGGCAGAGCCAGGCGGATCTCTGTGAGTTCGAGGCCAGCCTGGGCTACCAAGTGAGTTCCAGGAGAGGCGCAAAGCTACACAGAGAAACCCTGTCTCGAAAAACCAAAAAAAATAAAAAATAAAAAAAAATAAAAATAAAAAATAGGATCTCACTATGTAGCCCATTGTGTTAGTTTTCTCACTCCTGTAACAAAATATCTGATAAAAGCAATTTTAGTATTTTATCAACTAGCTATATACCCAGCTGCCTTCCACTTTTTCAGATAGGGTCTCTTGCTTAGATTGGTCCTACCTTGGCTACCCAAGTAGCTTTGTTTTTACAGTATGTGTGTCTGTGTTTCTGTGTGTGCCTAAGTGTGGAGGGTTGAGGACAACCTGAGTGTCATCTTAGGGTACACAACCTACCTCCTTTTAGACAGTCATTGACCTACTAAAGTGCACCAATTAAGCTAGACTGGCTAGCTAGCAAGCCCCAGAGATCTTTCTGTTTCTACCTGTTTGATGCTGAGATTAAACGTGTATACCTGAGCTGGGCAGTGGTGGTGCATGCCTTTAATCCCAGCTCTTGGGGGGCAGAGCCAGGTGGATCTCTGTGAGTTCAAGGCCAGCCTGGTCTACAGAGTGAGATCCAAGATAGGCACCAAAACTACACAGAGAAACCCTGTCTCAAAAAGAAAAAAAAAAAAAAAAAAAAGTGTACACAGCATTTTTACATGGGTCCTGGAGAGCAGACTCAGGTCTTCATGCTTGTAGGGCATGTGTTTTACCTATTTCCCCACTAAAAAAACCAAAGCCAAAAAACATTCTTCACAAATTACTTAGCCTCTGGTATTTAGCTAGAACTACAGGAAACAAAGATAGCCTTACTTCCCTTTTCCAAACTTTGGCCACACTGTGAGAGCAGATGAAGACAATGCATGTGTTGGCAGCCACAGCTCCTGACAATTCCTTTAAAGCCCAAAACAAGACCATACTGAAGTGGGCATGGTGGTGCTTGCCCTTCAATCTCAACACTTGGGAGGTGGAGGCAGGAGTTCAAGACGGCTGGTGCTACACAGTGAGTTCCAGGGCTAACCTGGTCTACAGGAGGCTCTCATGACAATGATTTTAATTAGCTTAGTTCTACTGTTTATCTACTGTTTCTGGACCAAATCTGTTGAGTTTCTTTGCTAGTGTGGACTCTGCCGAGTCAGGGAGTCAGGGTAAAAAAAAAGCATACTAAGCCACCCATCAGCAGAGTTCTTATGACCTAACCATCTCTTGTATTAGTTACTGTTAAGGTACTTGCCCCAAACCTGATGACCTGAGTTTGATCCCTGGAACCCACATAAGAGAGAACTGACAAGTTGTTCTCTGAACTCATAGCACCACTGTCCACATACAAAATAATACTTTTTAAAAGCAGATTAAAGGAAGCATTTGTTTGACTTATAGTTTAAGGGAGCTAGTCCTTTGTGACAGAGAAGGAATGCAGCAGGAACCCAAGTAGCTGAACTGATAGGAAGCCGAGTGATTAATGCTGCTGTTCAACTCATTCTTTTTATTCAGTCCTGACCAAAATGGTACTATCCATGAATTTAGGATGGGTCTTCTCTGGAAAAGCCCCTGAGTTATGCCCAAAGGTGTGTGTCCTGGGTGATTCAAAATGCTGTTGACAATGAAGGTTTACCATCACATCTATTAAAGGACCCACCTTTTAATACCTCACAATGGAGACTATGTCTTACCTCTAGTTTTGGTGGAGATATTGAAATCATTGTAGAGGATTAGGAGGGTAAAGAAACTTGCCTAGAGCCACTTGCTGTGGGCAGGTGTCCCACCCAGTCTTGTGAAGCCAGACCCTGTTCCAGCTAGTACATCTACCTTCCCTATTCAGGTTAATGGTTTATGAGGGCGACAATACTCATACGATCTCTGCTCATCAGTGACCCAAAGCCAGCAGCAGAGCTTTGGGTCCCATTCTCCTGGGCTACTCCTCCCTCATGACTTCAGTAGATTTTTGAGACAAGGTTCCATATAGCCTAGGATGTCCTGGAACACCCAACCCTTTTGCCTCCATTTCCCAAGTGCTGAGATGTCAGGTATGAAGCACCAGGCCAAGCCTCCAGTCAATCTTGACCTTCCCTCAAGGAGCAATATACAAAACCATAACCACCAGATATCAGCTCTCCCCTTATGATAAAACTTTCATACAAATATGACAGCAAGAAAGCAGCATTGAAGTTTTTATTCATGTGAATCATTAAAAATGGGCATCTATACCAGTGTCAAACGAGGGTGGGAGAGGAAGGCGGGGTAGACAAGGAGAGGGAATTCCCGTCTATTGGTAATAAAGCTCCAGGTTCATCCCATCATGGATTTCATCTGAAGACAGGTATTAAGGAATTTTCATTGAGGGCTGACTCTACCCACTCACAGCTGGATCCTTGCGGCTCAACACCCAGCCCTGGACTAAGGAAGCAATTTTGGAATGGGCACTTTGAGCTAAGAACTCAAGCTATAATGCATAGTGGCCCTCAAGACCACCGAGAAGGCCAAGTTGTTTGCCACCAAAGCCTGGTGTATAGAGTCAGATTCTCAAGCACCTCCCCCACTCCATCTCAAACACACACACTAATAATAATAATAACAATAATAAATTTCCTTAAATGTTCATACTCAGGCTGGAGAGATGGCTCAGCAGTTGAAGAGCACCCATGGCTGCTCCTCCAGAGGAACTGGGTTCAATTCCCAGCACTCGCATGGTGGTTCCAGGGAATCTGAAGCGTTCTTCTGCCCTCTGCCAGCAACAGGCATGTGTGTGGTGCACAGACAAAATTGCAGGCAAAAGACCCAGGACCCCAGCAAAAAAGAAATCATACTGTTTGTCAACTACAGCCACATCTGGGTCACACCCCACCTTCACTTCCTGTCCAACATCCACGTGGTGCTCAGCAATAAATATTCTGAACCTGAATGTCAAAATCCTTCTGAACCAAGTTAAATTATTCCATCACCCTTCTCACCAACAAAATAATTCCATAGTTCCCATTTTCTCAGTAGTCACGATAGGCCACATTCTAAGTTAAACATCCCGCTTCCTTAATTTCCCTACAGGTTTCAGTACAGAACCAGAATTCAAGACAAGCATATAGATTCTTTCACGAAAGTCACGAAAAGGATACAATCTCCCAGAGACACGTGGTCCTTAAAAATCGTGTACCTATACGGGATAGATAGATAGATACCTTTCAGAGAGAAACTGATTTGGTGGGGTAGGGATAGGGGTAGGGGTGGGGGTGGGCTTTTGTCTTGAAAGCAAGCTGAGTCCTCATAGGGGTTGCCTGAGGCGCTCCCCCAAACGAAACCTTCTAGTCTAATAAAGACCAACGTGCACTTACCACTTTTTAAGAACGATCTTATTCCAACGGGTGCCAGTTTGGGCCGCTATCAGTTTCTTCAAGTCCCCGATGGTGTCATCGGTGCTGGGCACGAAGGAGTTAAGGTAAATGGAAGGAAGAAGTAGAACGAGGAAGACGATATTAGGCCTCCCCATCTACGCCATTTAACTACAATTTACCCAACCCCACCAACTGCCCCAGAGACCACGGCCAGCCACCCCTCGGTGGATACTTGCACTTGACGCGGACTTTCTTTCCTAGACGGTCGTTGCAAACCACCTCAATCATTGTGGCTGGAGCTACACCGGGTGGAGGGAGAGGATGGAAGGCAGCAGAGTCAGGCCTTTGGGGGTCGCCCAGAGTCCTTTCCCGAGCTGAGTTCTTTGTTCACACTACCCTGACCACCGGACACAAATCCGCAGCAGCCCCAGCCCCGGGTCTCAATGGCGGGGACCCCAGCAGTCGCGTCTCCGCCCCGTAACTCCCGCAGGCCCAGCCCCGGAAACCCCGGGTTTCGCCTCCCGCCACCCCTGGACTCCCGGGTCTCAGCCGCTTCCCGTGATCTCCGGCCTCTCGGTTTATCTCCCTCACCTCTAATCCCCTCGAACTTATCGACGACACAACTTCCAGCTCGAACGCGAGCCCTGGACCGATTTAAGGCTAGAAACAGGAAGCGGAAGTGACATAACGGAAACACCCGCCTTTAGTGCTTCCAGGTTCCGGGCTAGCAAAGATTTGTGATTCTGTGGCGCAGTTTTGATGAGCCGATCCTGGTGGATTTACAGCGGACGCTGGAAGCGGAGTTGGAGATTCCTTCGTCGTGGAAAAGACCCAAAGGCTCCCCAGAGGACGGTGATCTGCCATTCCCAAGCCAAACAAACCTCCTCCCGCAGAATCTCGGCTGCCGAGGCCGGAACGGGAGTCATGCGGGTCCAGTGGCTGCCGGGCTCTCTGCCTTCATTCAAAGCTCAGGCTCCGACCCTGTGCTTGCCTTTCGCCTCTGACCGCAGTGACTGTTTCCGAGACCCGAGGGGTACAGACTGCAGTTGATGAAAGCTAAGCGGGATCCTGGACGGGGAGGCCTGGTCGTACACCACCCCATGGGTCCGTGTCCTGCCCGCCAAGATGTTGGAAACAGCACACTGGAAAAGATCGTTTGCTTTTTTCCCTTTTTTATTTTTAATCTTCAAGGAACACCTTGTTCCAGATTACAGAATCTCCAAAGCTGATGGGAGTGGAATCCCTCCCTTCCTAAATTCAACCAGTTTCCACCTCTACTGAACGATTCCTTCTTAGCGGACGGGACTCTCAGTAAGGTAAGCATTTATTGACTCATTTTTAAAAATTAGCTTTTTTTTTTTTGAAATAGGATATCGGTATATAGACCAAGCTGACCTCGAATTTGTGATACTCCTGTCCAGCCTCGGAAGTTGCTGGTATTATACAGACCTGTGTGTTTGAAGCCAGCCTGGTCTATACAGCGAGCTCCAGGACAGAGCTTTCTAGAAAGACTATTTCAAAAAGGAAAAAAAGGAAAAATCTACCAAGGCCTTGTGCTTAGCTAATACCACTTATACAAAATTTATCCTTATGCGTAGGCAGCAAAAATCATTATTTTTTCTGTTTGTTGCGGCTTGTGGCCACGCCTCCCTGGCTGGGCAGTCCTGCTGGCCCCTCAGACTCAGTTACACCTTTCCGTCTGGAATGAAGTCCTGGTTCCTGTCCTTAGTGTTTTGATATGTTCCATCCTCTCCCCAATGCCTCGTTTCTGTTCCGAAAATACTTCCTAGCTTTATCGACACCCACATTGGAGAGCGAGCCATAGCCTCGCGCATACATACCAGAAAAGTGGAGTTTCTTATTTTTCTCTTTCTCTTTCTTTTCTTTCTTTCCTTTTTTCTTTCTGGTGTTGGAGGTCGAACCTAGGGCTTTCTAGCATGTTAACCAAGGGCTCTCCCACTGACCTGCACACCCAGCTCCTTGCTTAGCTCTTCTTGTTTCTGCCTCCAGGGATGCTTTTAGGGCTCCGTCCCTGGTCTTAACCACGCCTCTAATCTTGACTAAGTCCCCCAACCCTCCCTGCGCCGCCCATCCATTCCAAACTTGACCCCGTCCCCTAGACTGGACCTTGTTCTGCCTGAGCTAGGCTTTCCAAGTTGGGTCGTCGGCCCCAGCTAGGACCCCTGGTTCTTGACACGCCTCTGAGCCCCTTCCCACTCAAGTCATGATTTCCGGGCTTGCTGCGCTGTTAGCTTCCCCCTGCCCCGGTCCCGCCTTCTGGGCAGCCTGGACTCTGCCTTGGCCACCTCCCTAAACCTCTTCCAGCTCAAGTACAGCCTTCCGGACGCGCCCCTTGGCCTCTTCCTACTGAAGCCACGCCTTCCTGTTGTAGCTGACAGCCTTCGATCTGCTCCTCTGCCACTGGCTTCACCCCTCCATTCAGTCGGTCTTTTCCAAATGCCGCGCCCCCAAACATCTCCCCCGCCCCCCTGCCCCCGTCTCCCTTCCTCTCCCCTTCCTCCAAAACCCCGCCTTCGGAGTGTGCTGCTTTTCCCCAGGACCACTCCCCTCCCGCCGGAGCCTCGCCTTCGAGGCGAGCGGCTCTCCTCGGTCTGACCCGAACCTCGTCTGCTTGCCTCGGCTCTGCTTGCCTCTGCTCGCCACGTCTCCTGGCTCTGGCCACGCCCCGAGCCCCTCCTTGCAGGAGCCACGCCTTCTGGGTTGCCCCGGCCCCTCTGGCTTTGCAGCTTCTAGTTGGCTCCACCTCCTGGCCACGCCCCCGGACGACCCCCGCCCGAGCCTTGCCTTCTGGTTTGCAGTTCGCCTTGCACCCCGGCCCCGCCTCGTGCCCCCTCCTCACTCAAGCCACACCTTCTGGGTTTGCTCTTCGCCTTGCACCCCGGCCCCGCCTTGTGCCCCCTCCTCACTCACCTCCCTCTAGCCACACCTTCTGGGTTCGCCTACCCTCAGTTCCACCCGGTGGCCGAGCTAGTCAGGCCTCGTCAGTCACCAGTCCCGGCCTCCAGCCGGCGGTGAAGCCGGGCCGGTGCAGTCCCGGGCCGGTGCAGTCCCTTCCCTAGGAAGGGACAGTAGGGCTCCTCGACAGGCCTCCGAAAGTCGCGCCGGTTTGGCCAGTCCGGCCACCTCAGCGCCCTCAGGGGATTGCGGGCCTCACCACCACCGGAAACGGAAGCGCGGGACAGCAGGACCATGGCGACGCTGTTCGACCTCCCAGACTTGGTGCTCTTGGAGATCTTCTCTTACCTCCCGGTCCGGGACCGGATCCGCATCTCCAGGTGCGGCCCCGCTCCTCGGGGGAAAGAGCCGGGCAGGGGCTCGGCAGGAGATGCGAATCCGGTCCCAGCGGGCGGGGTCGTTCTAACGGCCGGTCCACTCCTCCAGGGTCTGTCACCGCTGGAAGAGGCTGGTGGACGATCGGTGGTTGTGGCGACATGTCGACCTGACGCTCTACACGGTATGCAGTACGCGGGACCCGCGGGCGGTGCGCGGAGAGCCAACCTCCTCCCTGGGACAGAAGTGGGGTCTGCTTTGTTTTGCTTTCTAGTGTTTGTTTGCTTTTGTTTATTTGTTTTATTTGGGGCTTATGTTTTACTTATTTTTCTATATTTTTTGTTTGTTTGTCCCTTTGGGGGAGGGGAGGTTGTTTTGAGACAGGGTCTCTAGCCCAGACTGGCCTCCAGCTTCCTAGGATGCTGAGGATGACCTTGAACTTCTGATCCACCTCGACCTTCTAAATACTGGGATTACCAACGTGGGCTCCCGTGACGGCTTTCTGTGATGCTGGGAATGGAATTTAGGCTTCCTAAATGCTGGGAAAGCACTCTACTGACTGAGCCGTGTGCTTGGAACTCACTACCCCTTGCCTCAACCTCCTGAGTGCTAAGGTTACAGGTGTAGGCCATCTTGTCTGGCCCAGAAGTGTTTGGTTTTGGTTTTTGTTTTCCCGTGAGACAGGGTTGGTTTGTAGCTCTTACTGTCCAGAAACTTGCCTTGTCCTCTTACCCCCGCCTCGGAAGGCAGAGCGTGTGACACCGTGCCCAGCTGGTTGGCTTTGGTTTTGAAGTGAGCTCATGCTTGGGATTTCCTGCATGTCTGTCCTGGCACTAACCCTTACCTGCTCCTCAGCAACCCCCAGACTTCAGTTTCTTATCCAAGAAATGGGGATTTAAGAGAGTGCTTGCTTGACTCTGGTGAAGCCCTGTGCTCCATCCCTAACACCAAGAAAAAAAGTACCTGCCTGCCTGGTGCGTTGTAGAAGACTTAGCCAGGTGCATAGGGAGATGGCTTAGACCAGTGTCTGGTCTCCAGCATATGATAAATGCAAACTTAAAACTATTATTAATTTTCTGGTTTTGTTGTTCTGTTTTGGTTTTTGAGATGGGTCTCATGTATCCCATAATAGATTCTGGCTATAACTGTTAACCTCAAATTGGATAAGAATTTATTCTGGAGCCAAATGTGAGTGATCATGGTTGAAAATACAGTTAGGCTTCCTAAAATACATGTTCAAACATAACAGTTACATGAAATTATTTATTTATTTGAGACAGGGTTCCTCTGTGCGTCCTGGAACTCAGTCTCTAGACCAACCAGGCTGGCCTTGAACTTTAGAGATCTCTTGAGTGCTGGGATTAAGGGTGTTGGTTACTACCACCCAGTGAAATTTTATAGTAACAGAAGAGAGAAAGTCATAAAGACACCTTTCAGAAGAATGAGTCATCTCTCCAGCAACTATCAAAATAATTGAAAAAGAAAAACATTTAATTTCTCTGAAAAAGTGGTCAACAAAATTTATACCATAAAGCTGAGCCTGGTACAGCCTGTAATCCTAGCTACTACAGAGTCCGAGGGAGGAAGATCATAAATTCAAGGGCTGCTTGGGCAACTTAGCCAGACCCTGTGTTGAAATACAAATTCAGAAAAGGCCTGGAACCCTCACTTAGTCCTAGAATGTTTTCCTGGCCTGTGTAAGGTCCTGAGTTCATTCCCCAGTACCACCACAAACAAGTGTATGGTCTGAGTGAGCTAGGGTGTAGCTGAGTTCACAGCATGTCCTAAATATACATACGATCCTGGATTCCATCCCAATACCAACAGTGAGTCACTTGTTCTACGAGGCTTTTTTTTCCTGTGTGTGTGTGTGTGTGTGTGTGTGTGTGTGTGTGTGTGTATGTGTGTGTGTGTATGTATGTGTATATGTGTATGTGTGTATGTTTGTTTATTTTGTTTTGAGACAAGGTCTTAGTATGTAGCTCAATACATACCTGGAATCTAGAGAGATTCCCCCTGCCTCTGCACCCACCAGTGCTGAGACTAAAGGTGTGTGCAACAACCCTGGACTCTGCCCTGTTTATTTGTTTGTGTTTGAGACAGGATCTTCCTTGGAGCTTACTGGTTGACTAGACAGTCTGGCCAGAACTGTGGATTCTTCTGCCTCAACCTCCCCCATGTGCTGGCTGGGTTTAAGGGCACAAGTCTTGATACCCAGCAAAAGAAACTGCATTGATTTAGGGAAGGAAGCTGGCAGAAGAGCTGAACCCCAGGGGGACACCAGAACCCAGGTCCCAAGCATGTCTGTCACCAGCTAGGAGAATCTTCTGGGAGCCAGGTACCTCTCACCCAGTCACCCCAATCTCTGGCTCTTACAGATGCGTCCGAAAGTCATGTGGCACCTTCTGCGCCGGTACATGGCATCCCGGCTCTACTCGCTGCGCTTGGGCGGCTACCTGTTCTCTGGCTCTCAGGCCCCACAGCTGTCCCCTGCCTTGATGCGGGCCCTGGGCCAGAAGTGCCCCAACCTGAAGCGCCTGTGCCTGCACGTGGCTGACCTGAGCATGGTGCCCATCACCAGCCTGCCCAGCACGCTGAGGACCCTGGAGCTGCATAGCTGCGAGGTCTCGATAATCTGGCTGCAGAAGGAGCAGGACCCCACAGTGCTGCCGCTGCTGGAGTGCATCGTGCTGGACCGAGTGCCAGCCTTCCGTGACGAGCACCTGCAGGGCCTCACCCGCTTCCGAGCCCTGCGCTCGCTGGTGCTGGGTGGCACCTACCGGGTCACCGAGACCGGGCTGGATGCCAGCCTGCAGGAGCTCAGCTATCTGCAGAGGCTAGAGGTACTGGGCTGTACCCTGTCAGCCGACAGCACCCTCCTGGCCATCAGCCGCCACCTCCGAGATGTGCGTAAGATTCGGCTGACCGTTGGGGGCCTCTCAGCCCAAGGCCTGGTTTTCCTGGAGGGAATGCCTGCCCTGGAGAGTTTGTGCTTCCAGGGTCCCCTCATCACTCCAGAAATGCCCACACCTGCTCAGATTGTGTCCTCCTGCCTCACCATGCCTAAACTCAGAGTGCTTGAGGTGCAAGGGCTGGGCTGGGAGGGGCAGGAGGCAGAGAAGGTTCTATGCAAGGGCCTGCCCCACTGCATGGTGATTGTCAGGGCCTGTCCCAAAGAATCCATGGATTGGTGGATGTGAAGGTGTCATCCATCCATCCCTGGGACCTATCCTAGCTTTTAAAGTTGACCTTCTAAGCAGCAGACTGAAGCATGTAAATTAATCAGGCTTGAGGAAGCTGGAGGTCACAAGGAAAAGAAGCCAGGACCTTTGGGCCTGCAAGCTGGGGTTGTCTGTCATCTAGATGACCTCAGCCTTGTCACCCAGCCTCTGGGAGGCCCAGTTCACACGTTTAGGAATAGGCATCATAGCTACCTCATGATTCATTTGCAAATCTTTACACCCCACACCCCTTTTTTCCCAGTACTTGGGGATCAAACCCATGTTCGGCCAGCACTGCTGTGCTCCTGAGCTACACTGGAGCCCTGGAAAGCCTTAGTTTCTAATAGACCCCAGAAGAGGGGTCATTTTCAGGGTGCAGGTGGACAGAGTTCAGGCTCTGAGGTCTGCCTGGCTGTCTGCTTGTATGCTTGGGAAATAAGCTATTGGATTGTCCTAGTGTTCTAAAAATCTCTCAATTGTATTTTCTGTATTTTGTATCCTGCCTTTTTCAAGTTTTCTACAGCATATAATATTTTACTATTAAAGAAAAATAATGGTTTTTCAAAGTGTATTTGTTTATTTAAGAGGGGTTGCTCCTCCCCAGCACTTACTATTCACAGGCAGTTTTATTTATCTTTTTTATTACAATTACTTACTTTGTGTGTGTGTGTGTGTGTGTGTGTGTGTGTGTGTGTGTGTGTGTGTGTTACAGCACACATGTGGAGGCCAGAGGACACTTGTAGGACTCAGTTCTCTCCTTCTATTCCATGGGCCGTAGGGATCAAACCTAAGTGGTCAGGCTTGGTGACGAGTGCCTTTACCTTTGAGCCGTCTTGCCAGGCTCTTGTTTTTAGACAGGAGCTCATATAATGACCCTGAACTCTATATATAGCTGACGATGACTTTCAATTCCTGATTCTCCTGCCTTCTCCCAAGTGCTAGGATTTTAAATACATACCACCACTCCTTACTTATGGGATGGATGCTAAGGATAGAACCCAGGCTTTGAGTGTGCCAGGCAAGTGCTCTGCCCACTGAGCCACATGACCAGCCCTTTCCAGGAACGTTTCTAGGTACTGGGCTGCACAGTGAACAAAGGGGGACCCCGTAGCCGCAAGTGTAGATGGCAGGGGTCTAAAGAGGTAAACGCGTCTGCGAGCCACACGTGGGACATACCTGTCCAGTGTTCAGGAGCCTAAGGCAGGAGTTCAAGTGTGAGGTCAGCCTGGGCTACAGTAGAATGAGACCCAGTCTCCAAAACAAAAACACATCCTCGGAATCATTTCAGAGCCTCTCGGGTGGTAAGCCAGGGTTGTGTCATGGGGTACAGACACTTGAGAGGGAGAGAGGGCTGGGTGGACCTCCTCAGAAGTCTGAGAGGTGAAGAGACACAAGATGTGAGAACAACTAGGGGATGACAGGAAAGGCCAAGACTGGGTCCCAGGGCGTGGGTCAGTGGCAAAGCCCTTCCCTAGAATGCATTAGGTTCTGTCCTCAGCATTGAAAAAAATGAGAGACTGGTGAGATGCTTCAGTGGGTAAAGGTGCTTTCTGCCAAGGCTGATCTGAGTTCGGTCCCTGTGGTGAACAGAACTGACGCCTGCAAATTGTCCTCTGACCTCCACACACATGCGTGCGCGCGCACGCACACACATAACATCAAAAAGACCCCCAAGATAGGAAATGAATTGGGCATTTCCAGAAACAAGAACATTTCTGTAGCCTAGTCAACAGGGGAGAAAGATGGAGCCTCTCAGGTCAGAGAGATGGGGGCAGGGCCTGTTGTGGGGCTCAGTGTGTACTGGTGCCTCTTCCTGTTTTTTGAGTTGGAACAGCTTGATCGTGCAGGTGCCAAATGGTTGGTGATACTGAGCATATAACTGATCTGATCTGAGTTTGTGGTGTGGGGGAGGGGAGGGATGGGGGTGGGGTGGGGGTAATGCACATCTGTGATCTCACCACCTGCCGTGGGTGGAGCCCAGAGGGTGCAGAGAGCTGAGCTGGAGCCCTTCATTTCTTATTCCAGCTCATCCATCAGAGGGGAGCTGGTATGTTTCTTGCCTTAGAATACAGTCTTCATGTGGGCCTTCAAGGGGATTCACAGCCACTCAGGTGACTGGTTCACATGGGACTTGGTATTTATATTTCTACCACTTGGAATTTTAGGTTGTCTGTTGACGCTCTAAACTCAGAGAACTACATTAGAAGATGTGCATGTCGGGAGGGGGTTAGGGCAAGCCCTCATGAATGAGATTTGTGTCCCTATCAAAGATACTTCTGAGAGGGGCTGGGGAGCTATCAAGGTGTGCAAGAGCACTTGCACAAGCATGAGTTTCTAGTTCAAATCCCCCAGCACCCACCCAAAGCCTGGTGAGACTACGCTAGCCTAGCTCCTGTTTCAGTGAGAGACCTGGTCAGTCAACGGGAACAAGGTAGAGAGAGAGAGAGCAGCGAATCTTAGCACGCGCACTTGGGTGCAGCCTCTCCCCCCACATAATTAAAAATTGCTCCCTAGACCATCTCCCATTCCACTATGTGACTTGTGGAGTCCTCAGCAGACACCACACCTACTGCTTCATCTTGGACTTGGAAGCTTCCACAGTTGGAACCAACACATTTCTGGGTTAGGTTGGAAAGGGGTGGGGTGGTATGTGCAGCTGTGTGTGCGGCAGTCAGGCCAGCTTTCAGAGCTCAGTTCTGTCCTTCCACTGTGGCTTCCTAGGATCAAAGCCAGGTGGTCAAGCTTAGGGAGCAAGCATCTTTACCCACGGAGTTCTCTTAGTTTAATTTTTTTAAGATAGGGCCTCTCTATGCAACCCTTGCTGGCATGGAACTCACTATGTAGACGAAGCTGGCCTTGAACTTGTGGTTTTCCTGCCTCTGCTTCACCTGTGCTGGAATTAAAGGTGTGTGCCACCATGCCTGGTTTTTAATTGCCAGTGTGTATGTGCAGACACTTTGAAGTTGTCCTAGGGGTCTAGAAGAAGGCATTGGATCCCCTGGAACTGGAGTTAAGATGCTTGTAAGATGACTGATGTGGGTGCTGGGAACTGAACTCGGGTCTTCTGGGAGAGCAGTATGTACTCCTAATTGCAGAGCCATCTCTCCAGGCCAACAAACAAAATGAGTGGATAATGTTGCTTCTGGAGCTCTGGATCCTTCAGTGGCTCCCTAGTGCACCAAGTCCTGAATAGAGCTCAACTTTTTTTCTTTTTAAAAATTCTTCTTGGCTGGGTGGTGGTGGTGGTGGTGGTGGTGGTGGTGGT